TTAATATTATTTTTACGTGTTTTAGCTGGCAACACTCNATATTCTGTAGTTGATATCTACGAAAATAGAAATATTCCAAGTTTTTATTGTTACTTTTAGCAAAACAAAGGGAAAGAATTGAAAAGTATTTGATGCTCTGTGCCAAGTAGACTGTATTATAAATTTTACATTGACGTTACTACTAAAGAAAACAAAAATGCAGGACCTCCGAGTAAATATATATATATATATATATTTACGTTTTTACGAAATATTTTAAATGTTTTCTTTATAATAAAATTTTTAAAACAGTTCCGAAATTAAGAAATGGTTTAAAAAAGACTCATTTTTAAGTCAAATAAGTACACGATTTACGTCAATTTGACGTCAATATACGTGTATTCATTACAAAAAATATATAAGAATAACGTCAAACTGACGTAAAACTGAACAAAACGAATGCACTTAAAGAGTTTTTCCTCCACAAAAATTCAATATCTTAAAAGATGTAAACGTATTATATTATTTTACAATTGTTAGAGAAAATACATTAAAGATATTTTGTTAATATCTCCATTTAATACTTTATGGTAATATTTCCATATTTTCATAAAATACTTAACTCAGAAGTCATGCTGCGAAGAAGATGAGATGGAGTTTGTAAAGAGAATCGAGAATTTAAATATAAACTTTAAGAAAAATGGAGATAAAATAAGAAATTTCAGGGGAGAAATTAGGGGAAGATGAAGAGAATTATTAGGAGTAGAATGACCTGAAGATAAGAATAAATAAATTAAAATGAGGATAAGATAATGAATGATCACTCTTCTATAGGATGCAGTTTCATAAGAGATGACTCCTCCTCTCATAATCACCTCTCTATGATTGGGAGGATCCAGATTTAAATATATTCAAATTATGGATCCAATTAGAAATTTGGTTAATTGATAACCTCCTGTAAAGACGTAAATTGAAATTTCATAATGATTAAAACAAATATATCTGATCTAGGTCTTCGTTTCTTATGGTTATTGCATCGATGTTAATACAAACTTTTATTGTTGTTATCTTTATAGGCGAAAAAAAAAAATTAATTATATTTATCGTTTATATTTAAAAGTATGAGATTAATTTCCTCACAATGTCTTCCCATAAAATTTTATAAACACCAACCATAAATTTTACGAGTAACAAAACATTAAGATATAAAACATCGATATCAATATAATAACAACAATAAAAAATCTGTATTAAAATTCTTTACTAGATAAAAAAAAATAATAATAATAATAATAATAAGATGATAATTNTTAAAAAAAAAAAAATGGAGGCAATATTTAATAACTTTTTTCGACTCTGCCTGGTTTACTTTGCAATCCGCTTAATCACGGTTATGATTTGTTACTATAAGGAAGAGGATGGAAGAAGAAGAAGAAGAAGAAGAAGAAGTAGTAAGAAAAAAAAAGGAGGCACGTTTCATTCACGTACTCGAATCTAAATGAGATTTTCTTCTATTTTATTTATAAACGAGAATGTTGAAACATTATAATCGATTTTGTTCGCTTTAGTCACTTCAATTCAACCGAAGCCGCTTCCTGTGAGAAAATACCAGAATGTTTTTCAGATCAGAAAATTCAACCTTATATATAAAAATTCGTAAATTTTAAATATTTATAAACAAATTCAAACAATATATATATTTAAAAAAAAATAAGGAGTGAAAAATAAAAGAATCTTAAGTCAATCTCTGTTACTTTCATCAATTTTAAGTTATCTTCATCCTGGAATTTACTTAATTTTAATGTCCTAAATGAAATTTATGCTGTGTTTTTTTTTAGTTTAGAATGATATAAAATTATAAATAATAGGTTCTTTTATAAATTAGCTTATAAACTATGCATTTTATACGGTGATTTTAAGAGGAGAGCAATCTCTCTCCTCTTAAAATCATCGTACAAAATGTAAATCTATCTTTATAAAGTATGGAATTTGTATACTGTTAAAGATCGAGAAAAGTAATTAATTAATTAATTAATTAATTAAAGAATTTTATATAATAATGTTGATTAATAAAATAAAGTGATTTAGAGAAATATAATGCGAATCATTAGTAAAATAGGATGCTGAAATTCATCCTAATAGAGATAAAATTGAATCTTTTTTTCCACACAGATTATTAGTGATTTTTATTGATAATAAATAAAGGAAATCATTTCGTTAAAGAAAATAAAAAACGTTTTTAAACACGATAAAAATAAGAAAAAAAAACGAAAATTAGTCAAATTAAAAAGTTAAAGTAAGAATTTTTCATTCGATAAAATGAATGAGAGGAAGGAGAAAAGGAAGTAATTAGTGAAAACTTCAACTTTTCACGTATAAATGTTAATAAATAAAATATATATATATAATTATTAATTTTTTTATGTAAGATTTAAGCGTGTCGTACAAGACAAAACATTATAATTAGACTCGTTACTAAGGTCCTGTATCGATTTATAGGTTCAATAATGATCATCTTATGCACTGTACATTTGTCACTATTGAAGTAAGGCAGTCAATTGCCCCTAGTCTTATTGACGGGATTTCTTTCGTCCTATCTTGTTTCTATCGATTCTTATCACACGAAAAGAAACTCGTGAATTATCCGCTGAAAGGCAAAACTAAATTTAAAGATTTCTAAACACAAATTATAACTTTACAAGAGATTTTTAAGCGTTTAACAAAGGGAAATAATTGAATTAATACAGCTTAATTTTTAATGCTGGCAGCAAGAACGTAATCATCTCTTGATCTTATTCATCTATTTTAATTATCCTCTATTGCTCTCCAGCATCTTCTGATCTTTTGTATCAGTAGTATATATATATATATATATATATATATATATAAGGTTTTATAGCCTGAATTATAGCCTTTGATAGATTTTTTTAAGGTGTAAAGTGGTTTGGTCCATTTTCTCCGAAAGCAATGGTCAACCGTAAAAGAAATTCTTTTAGTAAGATTAATTCTTCTGCCTGATCGTTTTGTGAACATCTATATTGACAAGGCACTC